CCTCCTCACTTCTTAACAAACAGTGTTTGACTTACTAATAGAGATGCTTAAATCGAGCTTATGGTCCACTTCCCCCAAATCTGACTAGTCCACAAGATGAATTCCCCTGTCAGAATCAAGATGATCAAACAGATTACAATTATTTCATCCCCCATCTTTATTAATGAGGACTGTCTTTCATAGTTATGTTCCCTAATAAGAATAAATGATATGCCACTGCCAGGTTTGTTGTTCGCGCTCACTCAGGGGACTCTCGCACGTTTGCACTTTGAGATGATTTTAGATTGATTTTTGCCTCACCTAAAGGGGGTAATAGCATCTGTGAGAACAAAAGAACGCACTTCAGTGTGTCGTATTAGTGCGAGCTGCAAACACAACTTAAAAGAGAGGACTGTGAAATGCCACAAAAGTAAAAAGTTATCAAGTAATTGAGCGCAGATCGTAATGCCCCGGGGACAATTAACATGGTTCATGGTGCATGAGTGAAAATCCTGGGTTAGTCTAATGGGAGAATAAAAAGACTGCCTGCCTTCCCAGTAACACAAGCCTGGTGAGTAGCCTATCAAAGCCCAGTGTCAGGAGCTGAGAGTGAGACATCTCATCCTCCGTCCTCATCCACGCGCCATTTGTCACACACAACAATTAATACGCCTCCCTCTGTTTCAACTCCAACCGCAGGCCGCAGAAATTAACTATTGGATTTGTTTAAAAGGCATGAAGCAACATAGCGCTTGCTATTTAGGACAGTAGAACGCATAGAGCAGAAAATGCAACTGTAATACAACGAATTGGGAAGCAGTTTTTTCATTCCTTTTACTTCCAGGACAGATCCTGGAGAGACAGGGTCATTTTCTCATAGACTTCTATATAAAAACATATTAAGAGTCAGACCCTGCTGGTGGAAAACAGGGTGCATGCTTGGACTCAAGTCTAGCTGGGAGGCTTTCATCCTCTCTTGGTGTCAAGTGCACATCTATGACACTTTTTTCTTTCTCGTTCTCTCCCTCCACCCATAGTGTGTCATATACGTTTTTGTGCATGTAAATGGTCTGCAAAGGCTAAAATCCCAAAGTAAGCTTTGTCAAAAAGGAGAGTCTAAAGCAGGGGTCTCCAACCTTTTTTAGGGTGAGGGCTACTTTCAAAAAATAAAACAAGTCGTGAGCTACTTTTACTCCTCTTTTTTTTGTTTTTTGCAGTGTATATATTTAGCACATTTTAAGATTATGATATGCTGACCTTTAACCTTTGTGTGCTGTTTGGGTCTGTGGGACCCGTTTTCAGTGTTTACTAAAATAACATGTATTCAATTTAATTATTTTAACCTGCTTTATTTGGGGGTGGACCTCACATCCTCTAGGGGGGTCCTCACCTCCTCTAGGGGGGTCCTCTCCTCCTCTAGGGGGGTCCGGGGGCATGCTCCCCCGGGAAGATGTTTTTTTAAATGTTGAAGTGAAATGCATCAATCTGGTGCACTTTGAGCACAACATGAATTGATGGACACAGCTCTCAACACTCAGATGAAAGAGAGCTGTATACTTTTCAATAATCCAAACATCTTTAGAATATGATCACAACCAATAACAAATCATTTAAACTTGTTTATTCTTATCTTATGTTACCTAGTTAGTATTTTTTCTTTCTATTTATGCATATTTTACTAATCACTCCCCTTTTAAATACAATATAGTACACATTGGAATGATTTCTTACTTTATTTGTTACAACTATATTAAATAGATAAAGGTGTGCTGTCTCTCTCTCTCTCTCTCTCTGTCTCGCTCGCTCACAGAGACTGTGTGCTCCTCCGTGGCGATGACGGCTTGCGTTAAAATAAATAAATAAACATATTTGTAAAGTAGGGGGACACAAACGGGATTTCGAAAAGTGGGGGGGACTGTCCCCAGTGGAAATTACGCCATGCGTGTGTGTGCGTCAAGTGCAATAAATATGCAAGTTGCAACACACAGAGTAAAACTCTGCCCCCCCATGTGTTGTATAGGCTGGCATGACTAGGCTGTTCAATGGGGCTGATGTGTTGTGTAGATTCTGCCAGAAGGAAAGGTTAAACTCCTTATGAAGCGGTGAGCTGCCGCTCCACATTGCTTTTCTTCCAGACGCTGGTCCCGCAAATCAAGCAAGAACGTGATTGGTCGATATTCATTGTGGGGGGTGGGGGGAGATGGGGTGTTAGATAGATATAGAGTTGTAGTAAGTAGATAGAGTTCGCTATGATTGAGGTTTCGTTTATGCATAGGGTAGATTCTTTTAATTACATTTCCTTTATTTTTGGTGTATTTTTTACATTTTTGATTTGCTTGGCGAGCTACTTATTGAGGGCTTGCGAGCTACCGGTAGCTTGCGATCGATGTGTTGGAGACCCCTGGTCTAAAGCCTATAGCAGCACAACTAGGGGGGTGCTTCAAGGTAAGCCTAAGGGAGCCCTAACTAAGCTTTATAAAAAAAGGAAAGTCTTATAGATTTGTGTGCATGTAAATGGTCTGCAAAGGCTAACATTCCTCCAGATGGACTTCCTCTCCCCCACATCCGCCCCTGCCAGAAACACATTGATTGGACTACTTTGTTTCTGTAATACGCTAAGGGGCGGGACATCTCTAAGCGATTGACCAATGATAACAGAGCTGGCCAGCTAACCAATCAGAGCAGACGGGGCTCAAACTCATAGACTTCTATATAAAAGACATTCAGAGTCGGCTCCTTGTGGAAAACAGGGAGCATGCTTGGACTCTTGGCTCTTGTCTAGCAGGGGGGCTTTACTTGTATCCCCTCTTGGTGTCGAGTGCACATCCATGACACTTTTTATCTCTCCCCCCACCCCTTTGTGTCAATTCATCAAAGTTGTAACCCTGTTGTCTTTGCAGAGCGAATCAGAATGTGCCCCTGGCAAAGAATGAAGGAAAAGTCAACAGGAATTAAGTTTCAGTGCAACTGTTTACTCAACTGTGGCCTGCAGTTATTGAAATGTTATCCATGGTTTTGTGTGACTACTGCAGTAATGAATTCAGTATGGCCGTGACTCTCACTGACGGCATGCTCGTTTTAAGCTGGAAAAAAAGGGTGGGAGGTGGGGTCTGGAGCTGGGGGAGTGGGGGTGAAGAGCAGATCTGTGAACGCCTAAATAACTAAAACATTGTGACGCTCTGTTTATTTATTGATCAGCTTTAGGTAATGATGTATTTCCCAAAGATTAGACATTTTCTGTCCCAGGAGCATGATCACACTATCGAGGAAATCTGTGAAATACCCTTGTCTTTAAGGTTGTTTTAAACTCAAGTTAAAAGGTCTCATTTTTTACCCAACACTAAACCCAACAAGGACAGATATATTGTTTTTTGGGAGGGGGGGGGAGTTTTATATTTATTAAGCGCAAAAACGCCATTGACAATGTAACCCTTACCCTTTCTCTATTCATGTAGTAATACGTATATGTTGTACACATCAGCCTACTTGGTTTGCGCCTAGAATATAACTTTTATTTCCTGTTATCCACATTATAATTCTCAGGATTAAAGCCTAATCCCCTCCTTTTTTTATTTATTCCAATAGTGTCTCACTTAATTCCCTGAAAATCGTGCTTCACACAGGTATCCTGTTCCAAGGCACACACCATGTACTTGTAACATGACGACATCCAAATAATGTGGCCTGTGCTGTATGTTTGCCCCTCCAATTATTCATACATTCTCTCTACTAAAATAAATCAAGTGGTGGTAAAAGAGGGACATCATTCAAATATACAACTTGTAACAATGTAAAAATAATCAATTATGAGGTCATTTTACGTACTATTTCAGTGATTTATAAGTAGGGATGAGCAAAATCGCTTTTATTTTTTTACACATTTAATTTTTGGGCCATCATTGCCTTTATTACAAAGACACATTTGACACTTGAAAATGGTCCTCAGGTTAGAATCGTAGTTTGCTAAAGCCCAGTAGATGGTCCACAAGCTTTACCAAATGCTATCTGGCGGGAAAATATGGATGATGTTTACCTTAATACCATGTCTAAACAGATACAGCTGATTATTACTGCATTGACCTGTTTATTACACCGAGGGAGATGACAAACGGCTAAGCTGTTCATGAAAAGGGTCTCATTCTTTTGTGTTGTCAGAATGAGATATGAATGAATTTACTGGTTATCATCACTTGTGACAACAGATCTGTGTATCACAGTGTCACATCATCATATCGCTCTGATGTCATGACGATACTGCCATGAGATGATGGATGATAACAGTGAGTTATGGCTCAGCTCTATATGTTACAGGGCCCAGTCTCCAGTGTTGCACGGTGCATCGTGTTGCCCTCCCTGAGCTGACGGATGTGCTGTGACACCAGACAGCGGCACACAGCCTGTGCATCATCACCAAACAGCTCCTGACAACAACCGAGTCGTCCTGTCGGATGGACCCAGATAACAGAAGACACACTGATCTTTTCAATGTTGTTCCCTTAAACGCACTGTCGTGTGCCACACATAACGCTGACACCAACAGAAAGAGCTTGTCTGTTTGCCTCACAGTCTGAGACGCTGAAAATGTTTTTGGGCTCTGAACGCCATCTCGCCGGTTAACGCGGCAGAGTGTGGCATTAGCTGTGAGTGTGAGGTGTGTTTACAACGAGCCAGGGGAAGATGCTGTCATCCCATTGGATGTCACGGTATCTTAACTGTCTACAAAATCCTGCGACACCTACACACTTAAAATATGTCCGCGATAAATATTTCACCGAAATGCAGATGCCGCATGCCACGATAAACACAACCAAACACAATCACACAGAGAGAGCACTTCTGCTTCTTTAAATATTCAAAAAGGGCCTGAATATACATAAATAATAATAATAATGTGTTTATGTACTAGATGTACTTCGAGGTGGGATTAAATATTAAGTGGCACTTTAAGAGGGGGGAAGAAGCCTGCTGTTGACATGTCTTAATAAAGCAAAGACAGGTGCGAAAGTAGGGTGGGGGTGTACCTGGTGCTGTTGGAGATGCAGGAGGTCAGCGGCAGTCACCTCCACTGACGGCGTGGCACTGTTAGCCCCACCCTCCACGCTCGCTCCTCCATTCTGATTGGCTAGTCCGTTGCTCGTCGCCTCCGTCCCAGATTCTTGCATCATGGCTTGAGAAACCTGGGAGAAGACACGGAAAACAGGGACGGGGGAGAAACAGCTGTTAAAACACACAGCAATGAGGTCGCATTTCAACTCCGGGCCAAACTATAAACATCTGTCATATCCTTCCCACACAATTTCACTTTTATTGCAGGTTTCCCTGTTGGTTTGTGCTTCCCTGTGTCTTGTTTGTTTGCTTGTAGCATGTGCACTGAGGCAAACACATGCTCATCCCGCAGAATAATGAGCCGCTCTTTTGTGTTGTTCTTTCCGGGGCAGATTCTTTGCAGATGACAAGTCTGTATACTTTGAGAAGAGGGTTTTGTTTGTGTTCTCCATTATGGAGGGTTGGGCGGTCCGGCTTAGATCGGAGGGGGGAATCCAACCTGAGTGAGAGCAGAGGAGCCCAAGAAAACAGTGAACCTCCAAAACAAAACACTTTCTATGGAAATGGATATATTTACTCGCATGGCTCCCAGAAGAACCACGGCCGAATGGCTTTTTAATGGGAAACAGGGGCGACTGTGTGAGGCCTGCCAAAGGATCTCCATGAGAAACATCCAATCTGAGGCCGAGAGAAAACAGTCAAATCCTTCAGGGGTGCTCAATTAACACCAAAACACAGGTCTGAATATAAATAAAACCCTTTGACTTGTTGTCTTTCATAACTTAATCCAACTCAAAAGGATAACATATAAATACTGGTTGGGCGTTATGTAGAAGTATGACAGCAGTAATCTGTGTTAGATGTGAATACACAGCTATTTGCTTACATTGTACAACCTCTGCTCTGCTTTTGGATACACAAAAGGCAGACAGACTCGATGCCCCCACCCCCGCAACCCTTGCTCAGTCTCTCTTGGGACAAATGCCAGTGACGGCGGCGCATTTCTGTGCCCCCGTATTCCTCAAATCAGCGGGATGATTTACAGCCATTGTGGTTCGGTCCAGGCCTCGGTGGCGCACGGCGTCTAGCCCCCCCCAATTCCAAGGCGGTTAATGAAGCTGACCAATTCAGGCAGAAGCGAATTAACTTGGCTGATTAATTATTTATATGAAGCAGAATAAATGCCTTTAAAACACTGGGCCTCATCATGAAAGAAGGTGAAAATGGAACTAAATGCAGATTTACGGTGTTGCGTTTAAGGCGTGTAATAGGAACGGGGGCCAATGAGAGTTAATGTGTGTCTCCAGAGGTGCAGATCTAAACAAGATGCAGACACACAGCCCAGACACCGTGGGGACACACACTCAGGCTGACAGACAGGAAATTGATGTTGACAACTTGTCACAGAAGAATATTTACAGAGCATAGGTGAGATACTAATCTAGATGTGGGGGTTATTTCAAACCATTGTTTGTGCATTGCAATACATACTTTAAAGCAAAATCACTCGCCAATCATCAGATCTCCAAACCCTAATGTCTCAATCGCAGAGGTTACATTTCAATCTGATTTAGGGGTACGAAAATCCCCACAAAACAAAATACTGCTCCAGGAATGCGTACAATAACATTTATTTGCTGTTTTCTAACTGCTTTTTCCTTTTCCACACGCAGACTCATACAGTTTGAATTGGTGTTTAATCTTAATATTCGTATTACTATTTTTCATATTTGTTTATTTATTTTATAGTTTGCATTTATATTTTATAGTATTTATACAAGTCGCTTTATGTCTTCCTTAGTTTTACTAATTCGGTTATCTGTTGTGAATTTTTTGATTATTATTTTTTTAACTTTTTTTTCATAGATATTTTATTATTATTATTATTTATTATTATTATTATTATTATTGGTATTATTATTATTTCTTATAATTATTCAATTATTATTTATTTTCACAATCACATTTATTGTCTTTAGTTTTATTTATGTTTTTATTATGTGTTCATATTTTGTGTATATTAATCTTGTGTTTTCTATAAAATTGTGACATACAATCATTTAGTAAGACACTTCAAATAAGCTATAGTAGGATTCCTGCCTCTTCTTGCATATAATTTGTTATCTGTTATATGTTTGGTTGCTTTGAAAGTTGTGCAAAACGATAAAGTGAAACAGTTCTGGGACAGTGGCCCAGCTCAGTAGCAGTTGTGGTGAGTTAAAACAGCACCAGAGCTAAATGAAAGTCCTCTACGGTTCACGTCTCCTCTGTTGTAGAAGCATATCCAAGTGAGTCATCTGACACTGTGCCGGTTCAGTTGTGTGTCACTACGCCCACACACTCAGGGCCTGTCTGAGCAGCTCTACCCGGCCTACAGGCCCCGATCCTGGGCTGGAGCTAGAGCCACCCCCCCCTCCAGACAGATGTTGACCCGGCTCACCCTTCCAGTCTGGCACAGCCTCCCTCCATAATGGGATTTTCTAAACAACGAGTGAGGAATACGGCGGGATGGGACGCAGCCAGCCACGGCTCCACCTACAGGCCCCCGCTCGCACCAACTCACCAATTAGAAAACACACATTCTCGGGCTGAAATTAAATGCCATTTGAAATAAACCATGGGCTGACGTTATTCACCCCCATTTAATTTCTCAAATAAAAGAGATTTTTTTTCCACATGCTGAAAGAAAAAGAATGGTCTGCTTTCTGTTTTTTTTCTTCTAATGCTTCATAAAAAAGGGTGGAAAGTAATGGCTATTATACATGCACTGTCATTCCATGCGAAATTTTCATAATTATAACGGAAAGGCGTACATTTCCAAATGCATGGCATCTCCAAAAGTAATCAAGGGAATGAGCCGCGGGGCTATTTTAATGTATGCAAAAACTAGTGACCCACGATAAAGGGAGGGAAAGGCTACAATGAATGCAAAGTAATGCGCGCATGCTTAGAACCGGCACTGATGAGGGGATGGCTAAAATTAACACCCAATTAATTTCCGAATTGACAAACAAATGAAACCCATAAATCTACTTTCTCATTAATTTCACCACATAATAATTCAAAGCTGCAATATCGTGAGAGGAAGAAATCGGAGGAAAGAAGAAAATGGAAAATGGGCATTATCCATCATAAATATCAAGAAGATAGGAAAGAGCCTTATTAGAGAGTTGTGCTGATAACAATGTTAATCTGTGAGGCGCTGAGGCGGGGACGCCATCATCAGCTGGGGCGGCTCGGACACGTGACTCGGCCTAATGTTTATCTATCTATTTATTTTCACTCTACTCATGGGATAGCCTCTTCTGCGAATACTTAAAAGGCTCCAAGTCTTTCCATCCGGTCCATTTATACAACAAGTATGACTATAGCTGTAATTATGGGTCAAGTGTCCTGCTATAAGGAGGTTCTGGGGTTAAAAGCACATGTGTTTAGCTCCAAACACAACATTTCAACATAAAACAATACACAAAAGGAGACATGAGAGAGAAAAAAAACCCTCATTATTAATAGAGCACGTCATATTTTTGTTTTCTCGGAAAAAAATAGTTTCAAAAAGAATAGAAATAATGGAAATTCCAGGAGATGAAAACAAGGCAACACAAGTTGGTACAAAAAAGAACTGGCTGTGCTGTTGATTATTAGATGCCTGTCTGTTCCTTTGGTAAGGGTAAGGGTAGGGGTAGGGGGGGGGGGGGTTGCTTGCAAAACAAAACAAGTGTTTGGAACAAATACTGGATAATAAAAAAAGGTCAGAGTTTCTGCTTGTTGACAGTTTGTTTTGTTTTCCGTGCCTGGAATATGGGGAGTACAGTACAAACAAGAGTCACATGTGTCTCCCACCTGACCAGACAGGTTGAAGGTTAAGAACAGCCGGCGGCCAGAGCTCATCAGCCCCCCCCCCTCTTTCTCTCTTGCTGGAAATCTAATGCCTGTCACCCTGTCATGCTTGCCTGGATTTCAACAGCTCAAACAAGTCAGCAGTGGATTCAAGGTAGGGTCGGCGTGCGCAGCTGTGCTCTGACCCTTCTCCGTGTTCTGTTTTTCTTTAATGCTCATGACAGTAAAGCCTCCGCGGCCACCTGCTTCGATGAGCAGGGTTCTCACACAGCCCGTGTTTACACAAGCACACAACAAAAGCACAACATCTCTTGGGCGGGAGATAAAGACACGCCGAGGAGGAGACAATGGGAAAAGGTTCAATTTAAAGCTGTTTAGGTTCGGCCTGGTTGCTAGACTAGACAACACATCGACGTGTGCTAAAGGCACAACAACAGGACATCTTCTCAAGGCTTTCTTAAGAGTCTTGTGTTCTGCTGTGTTTTGGCTCCTGATTCTAGCGAGAAGTCAAAAGATAAACAAGAGCTGTGTGTTAAATAATCCATAACCACAACCCTCATCACTGACAACAAAGTACTCCAACATGGGTATGTCACGAGAACGGATGCTGGGGTACAAAGTCGATTGCAAACTTCTTAAGACGTGATGGTACTCGTTTTCAGTTCTGCAGGTAGCACAGAAGCTACAGTACCAGGACAGCGTTAAAATCTAACCTATTTATGGACACGTCTAGAAAACCGTTATCTTTTGTCCCTGACAATGCAACAAAACTGTGTTGAAATCGTAGTAAGCTAATCTTAGCTGTTAGCAGCTTTTGGGCAGCACAGTTCAGCGTAGCTAAATAGCAAAGCACCAGCTAACAGAGGTTGCTTTGCGTTACCATTTTTAGCGTCATTAGAGCTCTATCAAGTAAAAAATAAGTCTTAGGCAATGGTCAATTACAAACATAAGATTTTCATAATGTATTTGAATGTAATCTTGTAGAATGTAGTTTTTGTCGCAAGAAACTTGTGTAAATACAGTTGTTTGTAGGCGATGTTTTCATACTCACATCAATATAAATTACAGATTGATCTAAGACTTTTAAGTTCCTAACACTATCTCCAAATGTTTATGGTTGGATAATGAGAAATGTGGAATTTCCTTGGTATTGATATCAACAAAATCAACATTTCTTGTATTTGGGCATCCCTCCTCCAGCAGACAGTAATTGGGTTAAATCCCAATAGCCTTACCAAAACATAGTCTCACATCCCACTAAAGCAGGACCCTCTGCAAACCAGAACCACCT